CCAGCTGCTCCAGTTTGCTGTGAGATTTTGCCAAGTCAGCCATGAGGTTCTCTGCATCTCGAAGTGAGGACGACGGGCATTTCCTCAGTTCCTCTCATGGAAAGTGGTGGGAAAAGGGGGTTAGTTATCCAAGATATACCTTCGTTTGGTGATTCTCTTGTGAGTTTTGTCGACGACGCATGAAATGTCCAGCTTGGCGCATCTCTGGCACGGTTGGCCGGGGATCTGGCTCGACCTACACCGGACCTGTCCATTTCATTCAGTCAGCATCACAGAATCCGCAGTCGCCAACTTCTCATCGTTTATAAGATTTTCTCAAGGATGAATCCTTGTACATGTAATGACATCGAGGCTGCTGTCGCTCACCTTTGAGTTGCGACAATTGACACACGCCACATTCCGCCTCGTCCTCTCGTCGTGGCTCGGGGATTCCGCTGACGGCGGTGTCGGTGCCATCGAGCCTGAAAGAAATCGTACTTATTCCACTATATTGTTCAGATCTCCCGACGGCATTCCCCCAGTGCCGACGCTCGGGAGTTGAAAGCTTCCAAAAGCCCAGGCCAAGGGCAACTGTGAAATGGCGGGCTGCGTCTCGATGCTGTATCTCCTACTGGTCACATGTCCCGGTCGGCCTCCTTTTTCTCACTGTCGGGCACCTCAGTCGCAGTTGGTTAGGAGGATGAAGATACTGTGTATCGACTTGTATTCCTGCTGTTCCTGGAGATGCTGATGGCTTTCGTCGAATGGATCGGATCTCAGGTTTGCTGGTCCTCTTGACATAAACATCTGGGGGCCGGGCTTGTGTCTAATTAACCCCGATTGCCGACCGGAGGTAAAAGGCGGCAAGGCGTCACGTGGCCTAGCCTCGTCGATGACAGCATCAAGCCGCCATGAAGAACATCAGATATTGACCATGAGGCATGTTTAACCTATGTAAGTACTAGTAGTCGGCAAGAAATCGCAGCCAGCCCTCTCTATTGTATTTCAATTCATCCCGAATTCCCTTTCTCCAGAAAAATCTCTCCATCGTCCAATATCCAACCGCACCCAGATGTCTCCATCATGTCCATGCAATCATTCATCCATCAGCACGTCTCATTTCTCCTTCTTGCCCTCATCCTCCTTCTTCGCCACCACAGCTCCATGTCCAGACTTTGCGTATCCTCCCGCCAGCGTCAACAAGACCCAGGCAAAGCCCAACACCACGGCCACCGCCGTTCCAATTCCCACCCACTGAGACGCGCCCTCCGTCACCACAGGCACGCTGATGTTGTTGATAAGACGGCCGTCGGCCTCCGGCTTAGGGCTCACATGCCAAAAAGTCGTGCCCGGTTCGAACAGACCGTCGTAACCCAAAGTAGCGCGATCAAACGGACTGACGGCATAGGCAGCATCTTTGTTGCCTTCGCACGCCCAGAACACCACCGGATAAGGGATGCCTGCCTCTTCTTTGCCTGTCGGAGTCGGCTTGAGATAGCGTAGGTGAAGGGGAACCTCGGCAGTCCACTCCTTGGCCACGGCCTCGTCCTTGGGAGGCGCCAGTTGCAGAAGCACGTTGGATCCCCACTCCTTGGTGGTATACGCGGGAGCCTCGAGATCCACCGGCTC